AAAAAAAAAAAAAAAAAAAAAAAAAAAAAAAAAAAAAATTCATATCGAGATTTTCAGAGAATCTCATGCACACCAAAAAAAAATAAATAAAAAATAAAAAACAAATCACGACAGTTTTCAAAGAACAAGGGGAAAAAAGTTTGATTCGTACGGAACACAAAACTTGTCGGTTTATATAAAAACACGAACTTTTTAGGTTCAGGTAATCGGAGTTTTTCGTCTTAGAAACTGAAATTAAGTTCAGCCTGCCAAAGTTCGATTCAGCTTACCGAAAGGCTCTATCTTTGAATACCTACCTGAAGCCAAAAAGGTACGGTGTTCAATATGAATCGAAGCTCAATCCCTACAACCGAGCTTTTTTTCTCAGAGAGCGACGTCGAATAGTTTTCCGCGGATAAAGTAAAGTATGACGGGAAGTTTGCAAAGCTGCAAACCATCTTCCTCAATTTCCCCGCTAATTATATTCATAACGTCATCGTTGCTGTAAATCCGACACTTCCCTCAGTGAGGAATATCGGAAATGGTGATATAGGTAACGAATTGTAGCAAACACAGAATTGATTTTAAGAGGTCTCCTCGTAATAAGAAAAGACTATTAGACCTTCTATGCTCTTCGATACTCACACGTCAAGTGTGTTAAATGCCCTGGAAGTGTAAGATTTTTTAAGAGAGCGGCAATATTTTTGAGGCTATTTGAGCAAAAGCGAATCACTGTTATCGAGCCGTCCCTAGCAGAGTGGATATTAACTTATCGAGGAGAGTTATAAGAAGGACTTTAAGAAAATTGATGTTATTTTAATGTTAAAATTATTTTAATTTAAAAAAAATACCCCTGTGTAGAGACAAGAAAAAAACAGTTTCATCCACGGAAAGTTAATGGTTTAAAACTGACCAAGCTCAAGCCGAATGGTTTGCGACGATGCAGGATTGTAATTCAAATACCATTATCGCTGCAGGTCGGCGCGCGTTTTGATTCTGCCTATATGGCCAAATGAAGGCGAATCCACACGAATGCCTGCCGCTCATGATTCTGAATTCGGTCTTCCTTTTTCCTTGTCTGGGAAGCATGCCATGCAAGTATCCACTTTCACGAGCTCGAATTTATACTAAATGCAACAACGAGTCGAAGCTGTTTTACTCAAGCTGTGCCTCAAATAACGGAACTCAATTCCTGGAAAAAGTCCCTCAGGTCCTTCATAGCTTGAATCGGCTTTATTAAAAATCTGATTATGCTCTGATTGAACTAAGTTTTGCTTGAACTAAGATTGAATTTGAGAGTCTTTCAGCTTCTTGCTTGGTGAGAGATGTCGCTGTCGGGACATAATTTGGTACAAATTCGTCGCTCCTTTGACGTAAGGGCGTATCTTAACTTCCAGATGAGCCCCAGAAAGCATGAAGTTATATGGACAGCAGGGCTCAAGTGGAGATTAAGATACGCCCTTACGTCAGAGGAGCGACGAAATGAGCCACCTCGATTTCACAACACCACACGCAACTACTAAAACGGCCGCTGTCTCGTAGCACAGTTCTTAAAAAATTGTGATTATCCTGTTTTTTTCTGTGAGAAATACCTCTTGCTTCAGATATCTGAAAGTGACAGCTTTATTCACAATCGGGGAATTTAACGGTCGAATACTGATATTTGCAGTTGAAATTGTAATTTCTCTCAGCAAAGTTGTATCCGCGGATAATAAAGTAAATGAGCATTTTACATGGAAAAGTTCTTTAAGCTCTCGAACCGTCGTATAACCACACCACTGGTACCCCCAACCCCTAGGCATGAAGGTCTGAAACAGTGGTGTGGCGTGCTTTGCGATGTATCGATTTATCTGCTATTTACACCTATGGAAAAGGATCGATAAATAGGGTGCTCGTAACGAACACCTCAATAATCGACTCTTTATCATAGCGTCAAATGGGGAAACATCGATTTATCGATCATTCACGTCTCGCCACTCGTCTGTAACTGATCTCTAAGCTGAAATTACATTGTATTTTGCAGATATTTAAAGATTTTGTACAGGGCGAGTTAACAAATGAGTAGAAATGCCTTGTAACCTGAGTATTGCTCGATGAAACTTTATTGCTCCTTTCTCTCTCGAGTGATCTTAATCGACGAAGCTCCTTTCTGCAATGCTATGTAGACTTCACTTTGTAATGAGGAGCCACTTTTTTCTGGCCAATCGATAAGGGTACCTGTCTGCGTTTGGAAAGTTGGTAATGGCGCATACGTTGTGTTTAAAATGAACCAGAAATAGTTGTTCCTTATTGTAAAATCTAGTCCGTCCCACTGTCAATCGCTGTTGTTCTTCGATCATTAGTCAAATGTTTGCGAGTTAATTTGGTTCAAATTTTGGACCTAATATACAGGTTTACAGTCCACGAGACAAAACTCTAGAAGACTTGGCTCCACGTTGGTTTTAGGACTTACATGGTTAAAATTTTATGTTTACCCTAAAATGTGGCCGAAACGACTCCCATTTCCTAGGTTCTCAGATCATGGCATTTTATTATGACGCACACTTTGGTCATGAACTTGTCTCTCCTCATCTTAGTGAACGCTGGATTAATCCCTTCTCTTTTTTTGTGAATTT